AGGGGTTTGCAGCTTTCCCTTCAGAAAGGATGGATTTAGGGAACTCGTCGACATGTTAGAGAAGCTCCTTGGCTGGGAGGAGGTTGGGAGGCTCCCCTGTGAGGTGCTGCTGCTTCAGCAGTGAGGAACTGGGGAGCATTCGTTGGCCCCTGGGACGTCTTGTTGTTTACGGGGCCTGTCCAGGGTGGGTTCCAGGAAGGAATCCCCTGGGTGCCAATGCTGCCCTCAGAGGTGGGTGCAGGATGGAGGGATTTGCAGAAATGTCCAATCAATGCCCTTCCAGATTGTGAGGTAAGAAATGGGCCTCGACACGATGTCAAACTAAGCGTCCTCCTGGGAAGTGGCTGCTCAGATTTCATAGAATCATAGAATCATTTAGGTTGGAAGGGACCTCCAAGATCATCAAGTCCAACCATTGAGCCATTAGGGCTCCAAAGTCCTCTGCCAAAACAGATCAGAATCTGTCAGGGCTGGAAGGGACCCCAAGGATCCCCCAGTACCAACCCCTCTGCCATGAGCAGGGACACCTCCCACTAGACCAGGCTGCCCAGAGCCATTAGATTTACAGCATGTCACTCCCCACTGCTCTCATCAATGATCCATCTTCACAACTTCAGAAGAAAACTGTCCAGTTACTCCTGACTACGGGGTCAGAAAAGGATTGAGGTTAGAATCAAGGTCACCTGGTCCAACCCTGGCTCAGGTCAGGCCACCTACTGCTGGTTGCCCAGGATGGTGTTTAGACAGCTCGGGAGCTCTCTGGCCAACCTGTGCCAGGACACAACCAGTGCCACCTAAAAAAAGTGTGTCCTGATGTTCAGAGGGAACCTCCTCTGTTTCATTTTGTGCCCATTGCCTCTGGTCCTGTCACTGGGTACCACTGGGAACAGCCTGGCTCTGCTTGTGCCCTCCATTCAGGTATTTATGTACATTAATAAGATCTTCCCCAAGATGTCTCTTCTCTAGGCTAAACCATCCCAGCTCTCTCAGCCTCTCCTCAAGAGATGCTCCAGTCCTGTCATCATCCCTGTGTCCCTTTCTCTCCAGCATGTCTGTGTCTCTTCTGCAGTGATGCTGTTGAGATGTTGACTCAGGGGGTCTCCAGGCTCTCGGCACCTGCCTGTGGCTCAAGCTCATTCCCACTTGTGTAGGAGCTTTGGACACTTCTACTGGGAACTCCTACACAAACCTCTGACCTCCCGTGTCAAGGTTTGCCATGGCTCATCCCACTTCTTCCCTCGCCCTCCACCCGCTGCTGTGCTGCGGAGCTCTTCAGCCACACACGTTCTGACAATTAGCGCCGCAGTAATCACTGGCGCTGGCAGCAATTCGCACATCCATGGGCTTTGGGCTGAGGCGTTGGCTCCGCTCAGGGCTGTTCCCAGCGCCCCTGGCAGGGCAGGGATGGCAGCAGCGGCACTCCCACCGCTCCCGCTCTGCCCCCGGTCTGGTTATTTTGGCCGGCTGGAGACAGAGGCTGCGACCTCACGTTTCTTGTCTTCCTGTTTCACAGGCGTTGAGCTCAACAGGATGATCAAAACACCTTGTCACACACCCTGCCTTGGCATGGAGGGAAGCAGAGCAGACACTGCTGCAGCTGAAGAGAGCCAGGAAATCGTCTATTCTTCTGTCAGATTCTCTCAGACTCCTCTGCCAAGGGCCAAAGCTGCACAGGAGAAAAGAGGTAAGGGAGCTGGGTGAGGGATGTCCACAGAAGGTTTGACTTGAAGTAAAAGCAAGATCTGAGAAGAACGCCCTGAGCTGGCCGCTGGCTTTGGGCACCAGCTCGTGGCAGCGTTGCTTTGGTTCTGAAATCGCCGTGAGTGGTTTGATGTGACAGCTCCAGTAGGACAGAGACCCAGCATCGTTCCCTTCCCTCTCCATCAGCCCCTTCCCTGGCTGCTCCTGGGCACGGAACAGCCCCGCTCAGAGCTGTCTGCATGGCAGGGACAAGAGGTCGTCAGCGATAGTTCTTTGAAGGGCAAAGGAGATGCAGGTAGAGATAAATTAGAGGCGTGTGCTGATCGGAGATAGAGGAGGCACATGAGCTCATCCAGCCTCTCACCCCCGGGGCTCTGCAGGATTCTTTTGTGACACGTTTTTTCCTGTGTTTTCTCTGTCTAGTTTTACATACCTCCCAGCGAGCAAATTTTCATCTTTTGCCTAGAGACACTTCTGCAGGGCTCTTTACTGTCGGGAAGATCTTCAGCTTTCCTTAAACTCTCCCTTATTTCCTCTCCATTCCCCCTGGTCGGGCCTTGCAAATGTCCCGCTGAGCACTTTCTCTGGCTGCTGAGTTGAGAAACCCACCTCAGAAGAGGGAGATTTGGCCTTGGTGCTGCTCTCTAAGTGCCTGCTGCCCATGAGCTGATTGCCCTTCCTGTGAGTGCCCGTGTGCTGCGCTGGCTGTCCCAGCAGCTGAGCTCAGCTTGCCCCGGAGCTGCTGCACCGAGGGGGCTCTCACTGGGGCACCAGGTTTCTGTGCCCTGCTCGGGCTGGTTGGGTCCCTCTGTGGCTGCTCCTGCTGCCACTCGCTGCTCTGTGGAGACAAAGCCTGCACAGAACCCCCCAGTTCCAGCTGCTGACCCCCCTCCATCTGCCCGGAAGGCAGTCTTGCTTTTGCACGAGTTCTTATCAGAGGTGAGATCTTGGGTCGCAGCAGAACGCTCAGGGACATCCCTTCATCACCTGCTGCTTGGGTTCACTCCCACCCTCCTGGAGAACGAGGCTGCCTGAGGCTCCCTTGAGAATTTTGCCACTTTCTTTTCAATTTTCCTCCCCTCCAAATTCCTTTATGTATCCTCATCGTATTATTCTGTATCCTCATCGTATTATTCTATATTCTCATCTTATTGTTTCCCAGCTCTCTGCCGAGTGTGAGGAGTCCCTCAGGAGTGCAGCTTTAGTACCTTCCTTCACAAGATCTTTATCTTCATCTCTAGCCCTGCCTCCCTCACTCTGAGAGATGTGCTCTCTGGTATTTCATCTCTGCTTTCAAATGCATCCCCTTGCTGCCGAGATCCCTGTGACACAGTGTCACATATATATCACAGATCAGTTTTCTGGTCAAAACAACGTTTTTTGGCTCTCATGCACTCCTCAGACATGAAGAGCTGCCCTGTCTGACTGCTGTAGACTTGCCACACTAACAAAATGTCAGCAGTCCCTTCAGACAGTGCCAGCCCGGGGGGGTGTGCCTGTGGGGACAGCCAGCCCTGTCCCAGGAAGGACAGAATCCTTGTTCCTCAGGCCCTAAGGTGCCTCTGACTCCTTCACCCACCCGTGTTACCTAAACACCGACGTTCTGTTTATCACACACATGAAGCTGAGCAACACTTGGTGTGAGATGTGGGTTTTGACACCCCAGCTGTGAGTCAGCTGAGCATTTTCACAACCCTCCTCGCCAATTTTCTGTTCTTTTCCCCCACTATTTTGAAAAAGGGAAGCTGCAGGGACTCCCCTTTGGCGAGGGGTAAGAACCCCCCTTTATGGGAGCACTTACTCTCCTTCCCCTGACGGATCACTGCAGCTCAAGTGAGGCTTTACTTCACCTCCAGCACTTCAGTAGGACTTCACTTTCTTTTTTCCTCAGAAACGATCTAATTCTCATTTCTAACAACCGAAAGGAACTCCCCCACCGCTCGGGTTGTGGAAGTGCCCTGGGAATTTTGTTTTTGATGGTGAGTCGAGTCGTTTCCTTTTTTTTTTTCGGCAGTGGGTTTGAAACAATAGCGAGTGAATTGCTCTATTCATTGCCCGGAGGCACCAGCTCGGCTGCCCGGTGCTGACATTTGGGGATTAACCCTTGCGCTGACTCTCATCCAAGTTGCTCTATCACAGAAGTAGTTTTCCTTAAAATCCTGAACAGTGATCTGGAGAATGCAGGAGGCAGATTATTTGGGAGGCAAGAGAGGAAGGATAACAGCAGTGCACGCCTCCAGAAACGTGTTCTCGGAACAAAAACTGTTTCATCAGGTATTTATCCCCGTGTTTGTGATCTGCAGAGGAGCGGCTCCACCCCTCCCCTTCATCTCGGCCCCACTCCCTTCTCTCGGGGCTTAACCCGATGGCAAAACGCAGTCGCCAGGGACAGCAAGAGGAACAGAGAGCAGCTGCACAGCTCAAACCCCTCAGCAGTCCCACCGTGCAAAGCTGAGAAGGCTGTCACCGAATTCTTTCTGGTTTTTGTACCTGAAGAGAGATGGGGTTTTGTTCTTTCCTAGGGATTAAAAGATAAATAAAAGTTGCTAATTTTTAACTACAAGTGGGGCAGCTAGAAGATCCTGGAAGCTTCAGGAAACACAACAAAACCTTTACCTTAGGAATGATCTTTCTACCAGAATGGTGCTTATAACAAAGCTCCTTCCTGCTCTTCCTCATTCCTACAGAGACATCTTGTAGCCAAAAATGCAGGTTTCAATATACTGCCAGAAAGCCAGAAGTTTGGTCTTCAAACTGGAGAGCCTGCAAACTGCTCTGAGATCAAAACAGATCAGTTTTTATTAATTTATTGATCTGGTCTGCTTTCTGTATGTGGACAAAGCTCCCAGTGCTTAAGGAAGGCACTCATGGGTTTGGGTGAAGTCCCTTCTGGTTCAGTGCTGGCTTTTTCTCCTTCCCACAATAGCCTTGATACATGATGTCCAGTTGTTTCCAGCCTGCACTGTGAAATCCTTAAAAAAGTCTCCCATGCTGCTTACAAAGAGTTTATTCTTTTAGCCATTCCTTTTCATTTCTCTCTGAGAGGCTGTCTAAGTGTATTTCCACTTAGTAGTGTCCCCCTGGTCTGTGGGGATGCTGCTGGGGGGGTTCTTGATGTAGTTAGTTAATTAATCTACCTTGCCTGTCGTTGTACCTGAGCAGAGGACCATCCCCTCTGTCTTCTCTGTGTATTTTGGGTCCTGTTGCTACGACATCCTGCTCACAGCCCTTCTTCCCCCAAGTTCTTGGTGCTTGCTGTGGTGGTGTCTTTGGTTGGAGTTAGCTTTTCTCTTCCTCCACCCTATTCCTTAGACTCCTGGCTTTTCTGGGGGAGTTCAAATAGGTTTCTTTGGGTCTTGTGACATGACCAAGAGAGAAGCACCTCAGATTTCATGAGCTCCACTGGGAACTTTGCCACTGGGTTTGGGGAGGAGACTGGAGCACCACAGGAGCAGGGTGTGGTCCACAAGCTTAAGGGAGAAGCAGAGGGAAATCTGAGTTCCTCAGTATCAGTGAGGAATCAGCACATCTAGTGCTGCTTAGAAAGTCTCCTTGTCTGTGCAGCTGTCATGCTGAGATTGACAGGACAAGCAAATCAACACCCCTGGAGCTGTTCCATGGCAGTAGGTGTCATCCTCTCCTCAGGCTGGCAGAGAAGAGACTTTAGTGCTGAGATTTCAGATGGCTTATGGGCAGTGAATGCCTCTGTGGCCCAACACAGATCCAGGAGATGACAACAGGCAAGCAAGAGGTATCCTGGGGTGTTAGCACCTCGTGCTGCTCACAGCAGAGCTCTGCCTGGCAGTCCTGCCACACCCTTTGAGAGGAAGCTGAGCTACTGGAGGCTGCCCCAAGGACTCACCTCTGCCACTGCCAGCAAGGGAACAGCAGATGGTGGAGGTGGAGGGGTGGAGGGACATCCCCAGGTCCTCAAGGCTGGCCCTCCCATCCTGCCACTCCACTGCAGGACAGGCAGGGGAGAGCTTGGGGCTGACTTGGGAGCATCCTGGGAGGATGTAACGACCACGTACCTGAGCCTGGGAACAGGATGCTGAGGTTAAACCTGTCACTCTTCTGAGAAAGCTGGGGGAAAGGCCTTGAGCTTCTCAGTGCATGTCAGCTGGAGCATGGTGGCTGTGGCACTGCACTCTGTCTGCACCCCAAGCTTCAGTGCTGGGGCAGGAGCACGTCTTCCACCAGCACAAGGTGCCACATGGTGCCTGGGGGGTTCCAGCTGACCTGGGGCAGGTGATTCCCCTGCTGGGGCGGCCACCACAGGGGCAGGCTCAGCTGGCTTTCTGTCCAGGCAAGGGCAGAACTGTGCCCTGCAGCCAGGTGCACGTCCCAGGAGGCTCAGGCAGGGACTGACAGCCCCGAGCCTGGCTGCAGTGGGGCCCTGGGGTGGTGGGCAGGGGTGTGTGCAGGCCCTGGGGTGGTGGGCAGGGGTATGTGCAGGCCCTGGGGTGGTGGGCAGGGGTGTGTGCAGGCCCCGGGGTGGTGGGCAGGGGCAGTGGAGGCATGGATGTGCAGAGTGTAGACAGACAGGGGTGCTCTAAATAGGTCAGCTCCTGAGGGAAATGCTCAGGGCACAAACATAAAACCCCTGTTGGTTTTCAGGTGGCTCCTGCTCACTGTGGCTCCTCTTCCCTTTCACAGCCCCCTGTCTGTGGCGAGCAGCTGTGCCAGGCTTGGCTGTAGGCTTTGGCATCCTGAGCATCTCCCTGGCGACTGCTTTGATCTGGAAGATGAGTAAGTGCTCAAAGGGGTGCCCTGGGTCAACAGCAGAGGACCAGGGACTCCCCTGAGCAGAGGAGCTCAGGTTCTGAACTCCACGGGGTTAAACCAGAAGCTGTTCTAAGTTTCTACAGCCCTAAGGGCACACTGCCTAGACAGAATGTTCTGCAGAACATATTCCTCATGCAGACCCCAGGCAGCCCATTTCAGATCCTATGGCAAGGAGCAGTGAAACATGTTGAAAGGTTTTTGTAGACTTGTCTGCTGCAGTTATAGTGATAAACTGTAGAACAAGTCTATACACAAAGTCTGCAACACTTCTGTGGGTGTGCTGAAGGTGTTAGACTGTGTGGGAGAGCCCATGACTGCTGCTTAAAATCTGATCACCTAGGTGTGATAGGATCACACCCTACCAACAGGATGATGGGTTTTTTTTCCCTTACATTTTGCACACCCAGAGTGTTATCTGCTCTCAGATAGGCAATTTCAGTTCTCAGGTGTCTGAGTAGTTCAGAGAAAAGTCAGCAGGGCAGGCCTGGGGTAGGGCAGAGCTGCACCAGCAGCAGGGTGGTTCTTGTATGAAGGTTTGGGAATTGCAGAGGGCTGGAAGTTCAATATTCATGCACTGCTGGTTTTAGGTGCTTATCTTGACTCGTGTTTTCTCCATTGCAACTATCCAGAAGAGCTGCTTTTCAGCAGGTCCTTGCTGACAAGTGTCTTTCTGTTGGCTCATGGTAGAAAAAAAGCTTTTTTGGTTTTGATTCCTCCACAGGTGACTCCCACCCACGCTGCCCTGAGCAGTGGGTGGCCTACAGAGGGAGCTGCTACTCCTTTGCCAAGGAGAGGAAGGATTGGAACGCCAGCCAGAGATCCTGCTGGGCACAGGGAGCTCATCTCCTGGTGATCAGTGATGCCAGTGAAATGGTAATGGTCTTCTTCTTCTTTGGTATCTTCACTTGCCCTGCAGATACCTCGGTGACTGACATCCCAGCAGTGCTGCCACTCTGGCAGTACTTCCACTTTAGAGGAGGTGAAGGATTCATGACTGTGATGTTGTAGTGCAACATCCAGTTTCAGCAGAGTGAAACTGGGCAGCTTCTTTGCCCAGCAGGCAGAGAAGCAGAGGGCAGAAGGGAGAGGTGAGAGTCACTGTCAGCTCCTCAGAATCATCCCATGAAGAATGTTAGGAGAGAGCTTCTCTCCTGCCCATCTCCACCTCCTCCCTTACCCCAGATAAGGCAGATGTGAATGGTTCCAGGAACAGGCAGCAGCACTGTGCAGTCACTGTGCTCCTTGCCTACAAACCCCCACATACATCCCTGCTCTCCAGAAATGCTTCCTGTGCAAAAGTGATGCCTCTCCTCCCAGCAGCAGCTCCTCAGTGACCCCTGTGTGGTTCATGCACAGGCATTTCATTCTCAGTCTGTTTTCAGTGCTTCTTTCCTCTCTCTGCCAGGAAGATTTCAGCTGTGCTGGTGAAGGCAGAACCCAGCTGTCCCACTGCTCATTTCCCAGCAGGTGCCCCCTGGGGCAGGGGCATGTCTGACCCCCGAGGGGATGGGTAATGCTGAGCACTGGGGAGGTGAGAAAGGCCTCTCTGAGGAGAGCAGAAGGACTTGTCTTGCTTTTGCACAAGCCAGGGCTTGTTAGCTCGTGTCCAATGAGCATGGACAGCTTCCAGCCCCTGGACAGAAGCTGCCCTGTGTGATGTTTGGGGGGGCTTACAAAGCCAGGTCTCTGCTCAGCTAGGAGCATGTGCCAGGCTCCTACACTCAGGCAAATCCCAGTTCTTTGGGGAATCCTCATCTCCCCAAGATTACCCATTTCTCTGCAGGAAGAAAACCTCCCTGCTCCAGCTGCTTCCTTACTACTGCCTCTGCTACTAGAGAGTTACCCATTATCCCTACTCACACTTCACATAATCAAGACTTTCCTGGCTGTCCATGCCCTGTGCTGCAAAGGCTGTGACTGTTGAGCCTCCTTTTGCCAGAGAAGCTCTGTCACCTCCAACCAAACCACCAGCAACACTCAGGTGTTCCTCAGGCTACTCCTAGTCCCACCCCTTTACCAAGGCACCTTTGTTAATGCTTCTGTGTGAAGATGTCTTCTCTGGAGCTTTATTTATTGTAGCAGGAGATAAGGATGGAGCCCAGCCATAGCCCTGAAAGGCTGCTGCTGTTGGGTTTCATGGCAAATGTGGACCAGACAAACTTCTGTCTCTTCTCTTTGTGGTTTGTTTGTTTGTTTGTGGTTTTTTGTTTGTTTGTTTTTGGGTGGGGAGTGGGATTTATTTCAGGGCTGAGTTTCTGTAGCAGGCTTCACCTTTTCACAGTAAACAGGAGTTAAAGGCTAGGCAAAAGGAAATCAACATTGAAAACACATAGGAGGAAAGTTTGTCTAACATTTAATGAGTTTGGGTCCTGGGCTCTCTACACAGGTCTGTCAGTGCCTGAACTTCTTACCCTGACCCGATTTTACCTTTAATTGTTAATATTTTGTATTAGCTTGCTAGCTAGCTGCATGGCAGGGCATTAATATTAATACTAGTAGCACACCCTCCTACATAAAGCTCTGTGTAGGAGCCTCCAGGAGCCTGGGCTGCAGTCCACATATACTGACCTGAGAAATGTCCTTTGAAGAACCTGCCCAGGGTGCTTGAACACAGGCTCACATCCTTGTGAGGAAGCTGTTGTTCCAGGCATGATCCATGGGCTGATCTGCCTGATCAGAAGATGTGGAGGAGCTGTACTGTCAGCCACTCAGGGCCAGGGGATGGATCTTGCTCTCTGTTCTCTTTACATATCCCTGCCTCCATTTTCAGGCTGCCTTTCACTAGTCACTTTGTAACCTGCCACCATTTCTAGGAGCTGTTCAAGAGGATCCAATCAGGATATTTCTGGATTGGACTGAGGAACAGCACAGGCTCTGGCTGGATTTGGGAAGATGGCTCTACATTCAATGACACCAAGTGAGTTTAATTCTGTTTTAAAAACCACAGTGCTGCTTCAGATTGCCTGGTGTTCACAATACCCAGAGTTCCTGCACCAGATCAGAGAATCACAGAATGGTTTGGCTTGGGAGGGACCTTAAAGATCCCCCAGTTCCAAGCCCCCTGCCATGGGCAGGGACACCTCCCACTAGAGCAGGTTGCACAAGGCCACATCTAACCTGGTCTTGAACACCTCCAGTGATGGAGCATCCAGAACATTCCTGGGCAACCTATTCAGTGTCTCTTCCTGGGCAGATTTGTATGGCACCAAACTTGAAAGAGCTTTCTTTTTACTGCCCTGCACTCTGTAAAGGCACCTACCTGTGAAAAGCAGGACTGATGCTGGTGTCTCACTCTGCTTCCTTCAGCTGCTCAGGCCAAGGATTATCCACCTGCACTGCCCACACAGTGGCTCAGTCAGAAAAGCTAATGACCCATGTTGGCTTTACTGGTTGAACCACCTAGCACCCATGCTGCCAGGTGCTGGTGTTACTGGGTGTGAGGACTTGTCTCCTTGCTGCTTTGCTGGTGCCAGGCTAATCAGAACCTTCACTTTGGCTCACTCCTTCCTTGGACAAAACTCAGCACTCTCCACGAGGGCAGACATGCTGATTTGCTCCAGTGACTTTGGCCCTTTCCTTTTTAGGAGAGTTGAGCCAATGAGTCAGTCTCTATTCCTTCTGCAGCAAGGAAACTCACCCAAGGTCTCTGTCAGTAACACTCTAGGCACTTGGCAGAGTTCCCTTCTGAAATCCATACCCTTCTGTTCTTAGAGACCCCTTGGAGGTGATAATCTTTCCATGAAGCTCTCAGCACTGCCCTTCTCTTGCTGGTGCACACCACTGCCACTGCAGGGCATCATGCCTGACCTTGGTGCTGAGTTTAGTTCCACACTGAGATGTGCAATCCCCAGGTAGCTAGGTTTTCTTTTTTCCTGTACATCTTGTTTCCTGACAGCTGCCCTTTAGAGGCTGGGTTCTTTCACTTCCTCTGGGCTCCACCCTTCAAAATGAGATGTTTTTTTCTTTCTTCCTCCAAGAGACAATCTCAGCACTCTCTCTGTCTCACTTCTGTCCCACGTGTCCTGCAGGGTCCCCTCGAACAGCCCTGTGCAGCACTGTGCTGTCCTGATGAAAGATCACATTCGGGCCTCCAGCTGTGAATTTCCTGCTCCATTTATCTGTGAAAAGTCTCTTCTATAAACCCCACGTGCATTTTCCTCTCACAACCATCTCATCAGTGGTACAAGTGGATCATTGTCCTGAAAACCAAAGCTCTACAGAAGACCAAGGACTTGCCCTTTCCACACCCTCACAAAGGTGTTTTTCAGGGACAGGTTTGTTGTACGTGAGGGTGAGTTATCCTCAGTAGTAGATCCATCCTCAGTCCAAATCTGTTGGATTACTGCTGTTTGTGACCAGATGATGCTTTGGACGTATTCCCTGCCCTAGTCTTTCCTTATTTGTCTTTACCTTAAGGACAAAACCAAAAGTTTTGTCACCACAGATGCTGGGTCTTCAAATCTCTGAGGGTGAGCTGACCATTTTCCTCCATTCCTGAGCATCAGATTTCATTTCCATTCCCTGCATCTCCATTGTCTGGTGCCAGCAGGACTGGGAAAATAGTCTTCTATTCTCTGCCACAAACATAGAAGCAGACTTCTCCCAATGGCAGCTCCTCCTTTTGCATCCCAGTGCTCAGAGTGGGAAAGAAGAGGGTGAAATGAGGCTACAGCTTCTGTAAATCCAGCAGTGAAAATAAACCTCCAGTACTGCACTGGACCAAACGTGTGTCACTGTGTCATTACTTCTCCCTGCTGGAAGGAGCCAACTGCTTGGCAGGTTTTGTAGGCCAACTTCAACAAACCAGTCAAGAGGCTACACTTCTGGAGTGACAGGAATACAGTTATTTGTGTTGTTATTGCTTCACTCCAGAATGTGTTTCTCTCTCCACATCTGCAGCTTCATGCTTCAGAGAGGGGAAGCAGTGGAGAAACCATCACCACAAGGAGCTTTCAGTTCTAACAGAGCAGAGAGAGGCTGAGAGTGTGAACAGCATAAACCCACAGTGAGCATTAGGTGTGGGGCAGTAGGCTGCACTTCCACACACCTGGAAAATTGGGTTTTTTTTTCAACCCAGAGATTTTGTTCCAACAGAGGAAGAGGAATTTTATTGATTCCCAATTTATCCTGTTTATGACAGTGCACACAGGGCTGTTTCTGTGGAGATTTCCCAAATGACAAGTCAGAAGCCTTGGGAAGCAGTGGGATGGTGGTAGATGTTCTGGGGTATGTGCTTGTCCTGGGAGACACAGTCTGGAGAAATGGGATGACATGAAGTCCAACAAGGGGAAGGTCCAAGTCCTGCAGCTAGAGACACAGCCATGTGCACCAGTATCTTCTTGGGGTCACCCAGACAGAAAAGAGCTTTGCAGAAGGGGACCTGAGGGTCCTGGTGAGCACCAAGTGGAACATGAGCCAGTGAAGTGCCCTCATTGCAAAGGAGGTGAAGGTAACATAAATAAATACATGAAGTTGCCTTAAAAGCTGACTGCTCTTTGAAGGGACAGGATTTTCTGCTGTGGATTTTACTTCTAACTATGCACGTGGCTTCTCTCTGGGTTCAAGTTTGTGCAATACTAGAGGGATTTGAAGCAGATATACCAATTTCCTTGAAAAGCATTTGAACAAATCTCTCTGAGAGAGCTTTTAATAGACTACCTAGAGCATGTTGATATAGCTGACTGATATATACTCATTTTCTTGGAAGCAAGCTCTTTTTGGATGAACTCTGTGAGAAGCAATGCATGAATGCTGGAGAAGTATGGCTGGCAGCTTGAGGTAAGTTACAATCTTTATTCCCCATGGCATTTCTGAGGCTGCACTTGGGCTGTGTCTGGTCTGCTGAGCAGGAATATGGAGGAATTGGAGAGGGTGCAATGGAGGACTACCAAAGTGGTCAGAGTGTGGAGCACATGGCCCACAGGGAGTGACAGAGGGGAGCTGGGTTTGTCTGGTCTGGCCAAAAGGAGGTTGAGTGACTAAACAGCTGCCTAGAAATACTTAAAAGGCAGCTACAGGGGTGATGGAACATGCCCTGCAACAGTGGCTGCAAGTGCAGCTTGGGGAGTTCAAGTTGGGCATGAGGAAAGTTACCTTCACCAGAGATTGGTGCAGCACTGGAAGAGGTCAAGGTTCCAAACTTCTCCACCCTTGGGAGTTTTCAAGCTTTGACTTGACAAAGTCACAGCTGACAGCATGGCAGCAGTCCTGCTTTAAGTGAAGGGATGGACTGGGTATCTTCCAGAGCTCCCCTCCAGCCAGCACTTTGGTGATGCTCTAAATGAATGTGGTGGGATTCTTGGTTCATGTTCTTTTTACACAACTGGGCTGTCTGTCCCTTTGAGCTATGCTAAATGACAGGACTTGAGATTCACTGAGAGAAACCCAGGAGAGAGAATACTAAAACACTCTTCTCAAGGAAAGGCCAACACCTTGGAGAAGATTTCTTGAGGAGCTTAGAGTTAACTACTTGCAATCTAGCCAAAAAGTTCCAGAAAGTCTGGTGGCTTCTCTGTTGTACTTAGAGGAGGTAAAACTGGCAGGAGAGAGGGGAACCCCACTGCCACTGCCTGGTCTGTGTAAGCTGAGTCCCATGGGCCATGCAAGGAGCCTTGGAACGAGGCTGCTGGGGCCCAAGCTGGAATGGAATGCAGCTGAAGCAGCTTGAAGGAAGAGTTCAGGATCTGTGCATGTCCATTGGTACCTACTGGGATTCCCAAGTTTTTAAAATCCAGCTCCCTTCAGCGGACTGAAAATATTTCTCTTCAGTTTTGGGCTACACAGCACATTTCTGACCAAGGTCCTAATGATTGGGAGCCAGCCTGTGAGCCCTGTCAGCTGTCTGGCTGCCTCCCAAAAAGGACAGCCCAGCTCCCTCTGCTGGGTGCAGTTCTGTGCCTCTTTCCTGTGGGGTTTGTGTCTGATCCATCTGGCTCCTGACTGGTTGGGACCAAGGTAAAGCATCATCTTCAGAATGTTTTTGACCACCCCATGTCCAGCCTCCTCTCTGGGAGTGAGGCAGATCTTCTGAGTGACATTGCTCTTGGGCAGGCAGAGCAACCTTTAGGCATCAGAAGGGGAAGGCAGAGGACAAGTCTAGGCTGTCTTCTGTGCAGTTCCAAGGGAACTGGACATGCCCTACTCTTATTCCCTTTCCCATGAGGTCTGTGATGAAGGTTTGCTCTCTCATTGCCCTTGGATTTCTTAACTCCATAGTGCCTGAGCTTACCCAGCTCCTGATGATGACAGTAAGAGAGGGGAAGGACAGACAGATGATCTTTTCATCCTGTACCCTTTGTAATCCCAAACTTATACTCTGCATCCTCTAAACCAGATCTCCACTCCTTGGAGTTTGGGTTGGGACTGTCAGTAAGACAGATATCCCACTGCCACTTCCAGGGGTAATAATTAGCAGAGCTATTGATCACCCTGCTGCAGACTAAGGTAATTACAGTGAAGACAATGGTCTCTGTGACACAGCATCACCAGTCACAGTGCACTACGTGGATTTTCACATCAGGAAGCCATGAAGGACCCCATCAAACACCAATAATTTGCTTTAGATGTGCCAATGATTTGTCCAGGAACACGAAGCAGTACGGGAAAAACAAGACCCAGGCCACATCTGTTCTGCTGTGCTCTGGGGAGCTGGTTAATGTGTTACACGCTGTTCGGGGGTTGAACTTTTGGCAGCTTTCCATCGTGTCACTGTCCCTGTTTTTGTCAGGGTGAAGGCCAGATTATCTTAGATGACTTGATTGTCCAGGCACTCTCTGGCCCCTTTTCCTGGCATTAGCCCTGGTGGGGCCAGGAATGGAGGGCACGGGGGAGCAGAGTGGGTGGGAGGGGAAGGTGTTCGGGGTTGGCATTCCCCCTTTTCAGACCCTGCCCGTAAGTGGGGGGAAGCTCTTGTTTCCCAAACTCTACCCCAACATCCTGCTCACACTTTGAAAGAAATTAAATGGCTCCTGCTCCTCCAGCAGCCTCCACGACCAGCTCTGGGGCCAGTTCCACACAGGGAGCCCTTCCCCTTATCCTCTGCTCTCAGCCCTTTCCTTTAGCCACCGCTTCTCCTCCTCCTCCACTGCCCTCCCCAAAA